TGCCATGTTCTTTCAAATGTGCTGCTAGGGAAAATGGTTACAACGTGGGTCAATACGACTGGGACTATGCAGAACGTGGCATGAACTTCTTATCCAATGGTGGATTTGCGTGTGTCACTCAGATATGTAACACAACACGCCCCAATGCAAACCTATTTGCGTTAACTGGTCAAACATGAACTGGTTTGGTAATAGATGTGTCACGTGTGCCCAGGACAGCTATCTACTTGGTGGCTTGTTTGGCCCCACTGGGCCTTTTGCTGCTTGGCCCAGACTGCAGCAGCTGGACGTTGGTATCCAGAGGCAGCTCCTGGAGATCGGTCATGAACCCGAACGGACGGCTTGGTTTGGACTGGATTCGAAATTCAAACCTGATGATATCTCGGTGATTTGGTTGAATTCTTTTAGATCAGTATGATTGTGGTTGGTGAAGTAAGTGTAGGTTGGACAATGCATGGGGCATCTCAACATCAACATTGAACCTAGGTGCACTTTGATACTCCATTTATGTCTGGCAGTTTGTGCCATCTACGTGATGGAACAACCACGTGGGAGTGAAGAGGTGCTTCCACGTCACAAAAGGTTTGAAGCATTCTGCAATTTGATTTCTTTTGCAGCATGACTGCACAACCAAAAGTATCACATATCACTGATATGGAAACGGCTTTGCAACACTTATGGGGATTGGTCAAAATATGAGCCCTGTGGTTAGTTATACAAATTACTATCGATCGATATACAATAATCTATCCATTTGTGGGGTGCACAATTTTGACCTATACCCATATTCCTATATGTTTCTTTTCTTCTTGGAGTCCTGGATGTCCAAGGTATTTAAGAAACGATTCTGGATGATGCACCATGGAGGCTGCACACCCAAACCAACAGTGGTTTGGGGAAATGAAGAAGACATTTTGTCATCGTTGGAAGCTAGCCTGACAAGAATACGCAGTGCAATTGCAACTTAAGAATACGTATTATAATCTTAATACTTTGGCATGGTTAGCCAAGGACCTTGGAGTTCTTCCCAGATCGGTCCAGCAGACCAGCACTGTGAACACCACTCGCAAGAACCTCAGAGTGACGTCATGGGTTGTAGATTTTTTCTTGCCTGTTTGCTACTCCAAAGAATGCCACCACAAAAGGACAAGTACCGAAAAGGGTGTGGGAGTCCTGTTTTTATTTGTTTTTGTTTTTTTGATGGTGGCAAACCAGCAGAAAAAATTTCGACACTAAAGTGCACGAATTATGGATGATTTGCAATACTCCTATCTGAAGGTGTAGTCTATTGAAGCTATAAGTTTCAACCTGGTGCCAACTTGCACGAAATTTCAGAGTCATGACGCATTGAGTAAATAAGGTCGATATGTGGCCAAAGACGGCAAGATCAGATTTCAGGGCACAGAAGCCCTTCGCTCCACGCAGCCCATCCCTTATTTCACTGATTGGTGTAGAAGCTGCATTCTGAATTTCAAAGCTTAACACACCCCTGAAAACATGTTATATGGTGAATCCATCCTGGTTCAATCACACTCATGATCCCCCATACTCCTACTTCTGAGGCAATATCCACGTGGACTTGGAGAAAATCTTCTGCGCGCCTGGGAAAGGTTTCGAACGAAGCCCAGGTTGGATCTGAGGCAAAAGCCAGCATTTGATCCACAGAAAACAGATTTGCAGATTTTTCAATCCTTAGAGGACAATGACCCCTGGACCGATGCCAAGCTTCCCAGTCTCTTTCTATACCTCTATGACAACCAGAAGCTTGTAATCCCCAATGAGTGGGAAAACACTATGGAAGAGATGCGCAAATACATGGAACAATTTGTGGCTAGGCATGCAAAGGTGTCAGAACTGATTTTCATATGTGCATATGGACTCCCCGATCCTTTTTGATTTCCTGCCTTGTGTTGGCACTGCACCAGCAGTTCTTCCCAGGTTCTGACCAAAGATGACCTGGCTGGTGGCCCAACAGAGTGATTGGAGAGCAGTCGCAACCCAGCGCATTCAATTCACAATTTGAAAGAATTACCAATTGGTGGTGCTGGCTCGGTGTGTCAAGAAGAATTTTGAAGATGTTTAGGTGAATTTGATGGTTTTGGGCTATCTTAAGTGATTTTTTGGCAAAAAAATGTAAAAGTTTGCGCCTAAAAAAAGTTTCAAAACGGCTTCAAAACCCTTCAAAACGACTTCAAAAACCATCAAACGCCTACAAATCCCAAAAACTAGGTCAAATGGGTTTTTGGTGAATTTGGCAAAAACCGAGCTTTTCAGCACAATTCGAACAGAAATGGCATGCTTTTGCATGCTGTGCAGCCTCAAGTGGGATTGCCTAGTTGGGGCAGCGGGTGGACATGCGAGATTGTGGCCAGTGATGTCTAAAATGCTCGGGGTTCTTGACAGCGTTGCTCGTTCAAACTGGTGGTTTGAAATCACAAATTAAGTTGGAACATCAAGAATGTCATTTACCCAACTTAATGAGGTGTTTGCTCAAGGACTTGACTCTAGGAACCCCTAGGACGTGAGTAGCTACTGATGTCAGCCAGTGACAAGGCTAAGCCATGCCCTTCTTTTGAGGAGGGGAAGGTGGCATTAGATGCCCAAAGTGTTCTGAACCCTGTGGCCACTGACTTCAATCCGATGATACAAGTAACGAAGCAGCATATATGATGTACACACATGTTTTCTTAGATATGTATATATATGATTTTTTCCAAATAATCTTATATGGCATCCCTGCCCACTGAGGCAATGCAGGCCAGGCTTGCTGCTTTGCAGGGTCAGCTTGGACACCTCTCAGGCATGGATGGTGCCCCACAGCCCGGAGGTGGGCCCTGACAAACGTACCCACCTGTTCGTACTTTTATGCAGTTGTTTGATGCCAGAAATTTGATGCTCTTAGAGACTAAAATAATTAGAGGACATGGGATGGGAATTCAATGAACTTCTATGATGATATAATTCAGTTTGGGAAACCACTGTAAGAATCCAGCATGAAATTTCACTGGCTGACCCCGTTCAAAAAAATTAGATGTTTCCTGAAATGATAGTAATGGCAATGGCCCCAAAATCACGATAATTGGGTGTAAAACTACCATTTGCATCAGGTGGTGGAGTTGCCCTTGCTCGTGCTGCGGGGGCCTTTATGCCGGGGTTTGGTAGCAAGGATGGCAACAGCTTGCCACCAGGAAGTTCCCAAGAGTCACTGGTGTCACCACCAGCTACACCAGCAACAGTGGGGACCATGGGATTCAACAGCCCACCACCCCCAAGAAGTCTCAGTGGTGTTAGTGTAGCTACAGCTCCAACTTTGAAATATGGTGCCACCATAGATCTGTCCACGCCACAGCCAGAGCCGGTTCTCCCAGACCGCCTGCCAGATAGCTGCTTTCCTGATACCTTGCGCCCATGGAATTCACCTGCGACCAGTGTGGTGGGGAAGCCAGACAGTGTTGAGTCCACGCTGCATGATGCCCCATCACCTACTGGAACAATTGAACATGTGGGGTCATTGGAGGCATCAGTACCTGCAAAGACACACACCGATGCAAATGAGGCACAGGTTGGTGGGTCACCGGGAACAGTGCAAGCACCAGCAACTGCAGAAACACTGACCAATGAAAAAAACGGAGGGTCACCAGGAACAACAGTACATGCATCAGCACCTGAACAGACGTTGACAAATGGTGGGGGGTCACAGGAGACAGTGGCACCAGCACCTGCACACACTGTGCCCAATACAAATGGTGGAGGGTCGCCCAGAACAGCACCAAATGAACCAAGTGGTGAATCGGGAGCACAGCCAGACAAAGCACCGTCACAGCAGCCCGGTCCCAAAAAGAACAAATATGCCGATGGCACCTACTGGAAGCCACTCTTCAGCACTTTAAAGATTTAAGATTTCATCGTTTGAAACCTTTGCCCTTGAAGGAACGGAAATGGGTTAGGGTAAACACATGGATGTGAAACTTAGGCTTCGCAATTATGTCAAACCGAACAAGAAGGGTGTGATCAAGGCTAGCACGAATGTTATCAGCATGTTCAAGACTGAGAAGGGCAGACACTTGGATTTGATTTGTTAAGTTCACAAAGCGCAGTACAGTATCCTCACTTAGCCTTTTGTAGTTTTTGTGTGTCAATGCCAAACCTAGGAGAAGAGTTGCGCGAACTACTCTTGAAAGAGGGTACTCTTGATCGTGTTGAGGTTGCCATTCAACGACAGCATGTTGAAGAGGAGACTAACACGTTGCGGGGTGGGTGGCACACAGCAGTTTCTTTGGAGAGAGAAGGGTGGACCACGTCCCCTAGCTGAAGACCTTCTTCACAATTTTGCATATATTATTTATAACATATATGATTATAAAACATTATAAATATATTCATGAATACTATTATTATTACATTCTCTTCCTTTATTGATCCTATCACCATGTCAGTGATGCACTGAGGCAAATGATAGAGAACAGCAAGAAGTGGGCCCAAGCGAGAAACCTTGTCCATCGCAGTGAGGTTCACGGTGAGGAGGAATGGCGTGTTCCCCTGCAGCGTGAGTTTGAGTTCAAGGAACAGAACAGAAAAACAACGTCTTCAAGTGCTGGCTTTGTCACACAGGACTGGAATACACAAACATGTCCTGGTCATGCAGTCTTATATCACTTTCTAGCTTATTTGGGTATCAACTGTTTGAAGGACTCCACGGGTGAAATTCTTTGTTCACCGCTCGATGCAGATGCTGCCATGCACATGACACTCGAATACCATATGACAATCCAAAACAATCCACAAATGGTTTAATCAATGGCATAAATAATAGCTAAACCTCAACCGCTTGCTAAGGAGGGGAGAGGCTCCTGCAGCAGGCGTCGCTGTGACCCAGCCCGCTCGAAATGCCAAGTCCCAAACCTTACCAGTCTTGCAAGCCAACCAGTGCCCATTTGGCTTCTTTATTGCAAGTTGGTTAGTTCTGTTTTGGATGTTCTCAAAAATGGTCATGCAGTCCAATTCTCTTTCCCATGGAAGTTAGTCTGCAATTGCTCAGGATTGCTGCCGGCTTTCATTGAGGGTGTTGCCAAGAAAATATCCAAAGCTGAAGAAGCGGAGGATACCATATAGAACTGATCGAGATATAAATAGCAGTACGTGAGAAAAAACATATTCTCATATAGTATCTCATATATGCTGCTTTATTCGCAGGAAACACTACGTGGCCTGAACCTAGAGCGCGCAACAAAGCCGAAGTCTCAGCACAGGCAATCAACTCATTCTGATTCATGCTAGCATATAGCTATATATAGCTTACCATGGGCCATATTGGGTGGGCCATGGTGGGCCATATTGGGGGGATAAAATGAGGCTGGCCGACGAACTGAATGAGAAGACCCAGCTCTTGGACGGCAAGTACAAAGAGTTGATTACTCAGCAACAAGACATTATGACCCAGAATGTTCCCAATAGGCCTGGCTGAATTCCATCTCGTTGACATCAGTGTTGGTCAGCTACCTGTTGGTGCAACATGGCATTTGCAGCTGCTTTCTATTAGATATCTTGACCACTCTTTTACCTGAAGCTGCGACAGTTCTACGAAAGACTCGTTGGTGAAGCTGTACATTGCCTGTACCCAAT